TCAAAGAATAGTTTGTTTTGTTATTGTTTGGTTGGTGTCTGATATGAAACTGCGACATTGTGATATTTATTGGACAGACTTGTTTAAGATCACACAGCGTAATTCGGGTGGCATTTTATTTCGTATTTTTAAATCATCTTTTTATTTTTGACAATATCTGAAAATTTAGTTTCCTGCTCTTAATTGTGAATGCATACTTGATGGTTTTAAATGCTCCTGAAATTAAGTGCTGCTTGACGAGCCTATACAGTATTGTGTTTATGTATGCGACGTCACTGTAGGCCTAAGGTTGAAATGCACGGCCCGCTACTGCCTTCACTGTATACTTACACATTCTACCTCCTCCCAGAAAGATAACAACGTCCCACATACGTCCACTGACGACCACTTAACACAAACGAAAATTGTGTCTCCGACTTACAAACAACTTTCTAAGCACCTCATGACCTTCAGGCCCTTTTCAACCTAAACACATAATGACCTCCTCTTTCGTAGCATCACTGTGTCAAAACTCACCTGCCTGTTCCTTTTTTATTCTCAACATACTCAACTTCCATTTTCACCTTACGTCTCACCATCAACATTTTCACTTGCCTTTCACACACTATAAGTATCCAAAACTCTCTGTGTCACCACACCCATACTCAACCATTTTCTTTCTTTATCTTATTTACACATACTTCATGTAGCGCCGGTTGAAATAATGAAGCTGAAGTGGCGTTAGGAATTACAATTCATACAGTTACAATTACAAGTAATTTCAATTGATGCCGTACAAACCTCTTACACTGCAAAAGCCAGAAAATAAAACAAACAAGACTCCATGAGCCACGCCAAGAGTCGCGCTTATCTACACACATGCAAAGACTAATTAAACACATATTCGCAGACACAACTCTACAGACAAACCAAAATATTCACCTTGCTACCACTCACAACCAGGTCAAGCATCCCCAAACTTTGAATTTTGTCATCCGCTAGAACACCTCACCTCATCCAAATATCGATATACACCATCAATTTACCGTCAAACAAGCCGCTATCACTTTCCGTGTTCCTTCAAAATGAAACTTCCTTCCATCACGAAGCCAAAAAGGAAAGTTGCTATCTCTTGCTGAGAAGCAGGAATGTCTCGTCGTGCACTTACAAATTTACTCTTGGGACAGTCACGGGAAATGTGGAAATTCGCCCTACAACACCAACAAAAAAATCCCCCCTGGATCAGTCCCACGTCTCTTTTTTGGCATTCCGCTGCCCCTATTTCGGCGCGGTTTGTTGACTGTGCGTGTGCATGTGAGGGCCTTTTCAATTTTAAAAACATTGGCTCAATAGCAGAGCCATTTATGTTCTGAAAATTCTGTCTCCAAATGAATTTGTAGTATGGCTGCACTTCTCATGACTCCCCGAAGTGACTTAAATAGTGCTTGTTAAGAAGTTTTTCGTGTTTTGAACCAAGGAAAACTACTTTAAAATTAGATTCGTGCAACACTCCAGATGTCTGACACTGTCCATCCGCGGATGATGAGTGTCGCATGGAGCCACGGCTAACTGGGCTCGACTTTCTCTATTCCCTTTTCCTCTTTCACTTTCTGCCTCTTTTCAGCCAAGAACATCCAGAACTCAACGTCTTCGAACCCATCCATATCCATTTTCTTTTATCCATTTTCGCACAAAGTTCTAATATTATCCTGCAGGTGCAGTCATGTTTGTGTGTTCAGCCGGCCAGCGAAATTATATATTTTTTTATCCACAAATTTAGATGTTTTATCTTTGAAGGACATTGGCTCTCTATGAATTTCCAGTCCGTACATGTTAACTTCATTTTAGGATTCATTTTATCCGTGGTCTTACTATTTAGTATCCCCATTTTGCAAACTTGAGAGTCAGCGGTTTACCAAGGGTAACTATGCTGACTTTTCCCTTGAACAGGGTGACAATTTCTCCGACTGAGGTAATTTCCAACCTTCTACCACCAAAGTGGCGGGAAATTCTTGCATCTGCTTCCTCAGACAGTTGCCACAACAAATGTCCTGTTCTAATGAGGTAGCAAACCTCCACTCACACATTTACACAGTCACTCATTCAGCGCATTTTATTCGATTACCTTCAACCTAGGTAACGTTCTATATACACACTCTATTTACACACGGAGTTTAAGCACATGCAGGACACCGCCACCCTCAACAGTTTTAAAGGCTTGACTCTGTCTATATGCCTGATAGGGTCTAGTATGGCTCAGGGCTTTAAACGGCTTTAAAGACCACGTCTTTACCCGGCGCGCAAACACTCATTCAACGCTTGAAAGAGTCCCTTCTCAATAGATCCCTTTCAGGCTTCTCGAACCAGGTGTCGTCTAGGTATTCGGTAGTTACAAATCTGCAACACCTGTCCTGAGAGGGTTCCAATTAAAAACAGGTTTAAAGACCACCCCGACCTCCGTCTTTACAAACCCAGTGCACAAATACTCATTCAACGCTTGAAAGAGTGTCAATGCGAAGTTTAAGTACGTACAGGACACCGCCGCCCTACTTACCAAGAGTAGTCCTCTCTCCTCTGGATTCACATCAACCCTCAGCCCCCAGACGAGGAGCCGAAACCCAGTCCCGGAAAGGGTGTTTTAGCCGTGGCCACGGTCTTCCTGGCCGTCGACTCAGCTTCTGGAGGCGTCAGGTATATTGCGATCCTGGACGAGCCCCCAAAAATGTCATGGTTTATCCAATATGACTCTTAGGAATAAAACACAAGGAGGAGATAGGAGACTCAATTCTGGTACCAGGAGGGAACGAGGAGAACCGTTTGGTTTCAGTTCTCGGCACGTCACCCCTAACGATCTCCTCCTTCACCCCCTCATTTATTGGGAAATCTACTACAGAGGTGTGTCCAACCTAAAGGGTGGGGGCTGTTGAACACACACTGAACTTGTTTGACTATGTGTGTGTATGTGAGTGTAAATTACGTACATGTGTGCAATTGTTACAAAAACATCACGCTGCAGCTGGTGTTGATGGCTCCATTCACTGTCCAACCTTGCTCCTATTTGGTCTGAACACTTATCTCTTCCCAACCACATCCTCGGAAAGGTGGTTGCGTCCCTAAACTTCCACACAGTGCACTAAGCATTCTTGATTATAAATGTGAGTATATAAATATAATACAAAGGATTATAAATGTGAGTATATAATGATTAATATATAATGATTAAGAAGCATTATATCTTTATTAGAAGCATAAGCGTTCTTCATTGCAGGCATAGTCAATTCATGATTGTAGACATAAGCGTTCATCTTTGCAAGCATAATCAATTTATCATTGCAGGCATAAGCTTTCTTCTTTGCGAGCATAATCAATCAATCAATCAATATCAAAACAACAATAACATTAAAAATAAGTGAATGTATGATAACTAAAAATAATCAACCTATCAAAAACACTCGCGCTAATGGACAATTTAGGGTCACATTTGTGCTGGAATCGTGCCTGAGTTCGAATGGCTGCCTTCCGGCTGCAGGCTGCAGTTCCCAGCTTGCAGGACAGCGAGGAAGAGATCCACCTTCATCCCCCAGGCTGTTCTCCTCTTAAATTCTTAAACTCTTATTCCAAGGAACCCTGACACCCCCTCGCCCCCACCATACAGACTTGCACACCCCATTGTGCAATACGGGTTTACAGTGTGAAGTAATCACTTATATATGTTATAAGTTTAGCTTAAAACTATGTATCGCAGAAAGACAGACTTTGACTATAAACCTCACTCTGAGCCTTGCAATATGACCGCCAGTTGAACCTTATACGGTGACTTTAATTTGAACTGCCTTGGCAACAGAAAATACTGTTAACACCTCGTGAACACTAGTGATGGGAAAATGAAGCCTCATGAAGCAATGAGGCTTTCCATCCAACTGGTTCGTTCCTGGGCCGAAGCATCATGAGGCTTTATTTGTGCTACTGCGCCATCATGTGGAAAATAAATGTCATGACAGACAGTGATTAAAATGATACCATGGATTTGATGTAGAGGTAAAATCCGGCCAAAAAAATCCAGCCCGACCCGGCCTGCTGGTATTTAAGCCCAACCCGGCCTGAGCCCGACCAATTATCTTGATTTACAGGCCCGAGCCCGAAGCAAACCCGAAATTTCCTATTTCATTTGTGATGACTCGGGAGGAGGAGGGGTGATTTGTGACAAATTAAAGCCTGTCTTTTGTCACGAAATCTAAGTTAAACAAGTCTGTATAATTATTTACATCTTTTAAACATGTATTTCTGTTTCTGCAGAGGGGACATTAACCGACAATTTTCCATCATTGACGGATTTTTTTTTTAAGAGTGGACGGGGTAAATTTAAGGCCGTCCGTCATTTTGATGGGTTGAAAATTGGGCCATTCACCACAGCAGCAGTACGTCCTTAAAAATCGAGTGCGGCACTTGAAGAGAAGCAGCGAGACAAAGAACAATGATGACTGGATCATAGAGACATGAAGGAGTTCTTTGAATTGTCTTTGCGAGAGTTTAGTACAGTACGCGACAACAAGAACGATAGAAAGACATCAATAGCCCTATTAGCCCTCAAAAATGTCCACAGGCAAAGAGGGGCATGTCAGATTCCATGCAAACGTAACAGGCGCATACACAAGTCTCTCAAAAATCGACATCAAGCAGAGGTTGTTCTCGGCTTGACTTTATTACCTACTGTGACAAATTCACTGTTTTGATGAATGTATTTATAAGGCACCTTTTAAAGCTAAATGCTGCGATGTGTGATTTGCAAGACATTTATCCGAATCCCGTCTCGCGAAGCTTCGGGCGGAGCAACGTGCGTTCCGAGGCATCGGGCGTGGCCACAAGCGTAATCGACACATGCCTCGATGCGCGCTTCGCAGATTTTCTTCCGGTTTACTCGGCACACGCATCGGAGCCTCGGCACAGTCGGGCACATCACTAGTGAACACAGACCAAACAAGTACGTAGGCGCATTTGGTGGCTAGACTGCAATTTTTCACTTACAGCAGTTTCCCATCCAGAACATTAAGATAACTCCTGAGAAATGTAAAAGCATCTATCATCATGTTTTATAAGAACACGACATCAGGAACATCGGAGCATGAAAATAATTAAAAAACCAAGGACACTCAACCCGACACACTGAAACCGAAAAGGTTATGCCCATAACAGGAAAAGATAATACCCATAAGGAGATACGCCCCGCTTAGAAGATATAGGATTCGTGTAGGGAATTTGTTGGCAGCGCATTTGTGTCTCGACCACAACACTTGTTTGTTTCACACTTGTGCCCTGAACATTCAGTAAAACTTCTTGCAAGAACTTCTCCATTTCCAGCCTCTGATTTTCGCACCTCAACTCAGCCCAAATCAAACAAACACGCGGAGGACCGGGGGGGGGGAGGACAGTGAAGGGATCCCGCCGTGTCCACCACAGCACGCTCCCCCGGCTTGCTCGCCTCCAACAAGTGCAATACGTTGACGTGCAACACTGTTCTCACGGTGCAATGCAGTTTTTACTGTGCAGTACTGCTCGATGTGCAATACTATTTTGTTGCTGGAACCACTACCTCAAGACCTCAAGGGCTAAGCCTACAGGCCTACTCTCATCCTATGTTTTTCCTTTGCTCTGACTGTCTATAAAAAGCTGCTCTCGCACAACTCTAACTGCCCCACGGGGATAAAGTTTTCTGAATTTGAATCTGAAATGGACTTTTTTGGGGATTGACGGGGTGAGACCTAGATTGGCTGTCAGCCACTGAAAAAGGGCACTGATAAATAAGCAAGCATTCACACCGGATGGACGATTGAGGCTCGACGCTGAGCTGGAGTCAAACCCAGTTGACTTTTGGAGAGAGAAGTGGGGTCTGTTAAGACATGATTTCTCTCTGTTAGCTGGATTTGAAAGAAACAATGTAGAATGCTGTTGAAGGTATTTCCTGCTTACTGTGATTACAATCACCTTTGGTGACCCCTCACACCCACTACTTTTATGACCTCTCCAGAGGACATGTCAACATCAAAAGAGGAACTGTTATCTCAAGTATCTTTGTTGCAGCTATTTCGGGACTGCGTTTTACTATGAGTACTATTGACCTCAGTCTCTTTCCTGAACATCTGTTTGCACACTTAAAACAACGTATGTAGTGTTAAAGTTTATCTTCTTCCTGCTTGGTTGATTAACAGACCCCTAAGTGTCTTCTGTTGTTCGGTCAGTCCCTGACCGCTGTTAAGCCCCCTTGGGAAGCCCTCTTATCTCAGGATGTATACACAGCGGGGGTTCTGGAACTTGCTATCACACCAAATGGTGGGTCGTGGTGGTTTGGTCTCACCCCACCACTCTAAACGTCTTCCAGCCACAGGAGTTTAGAGTCATGTTACTATCTTTGTTTCCGGGATTTGCATGAGAGGCGTACCTCCCCGCCTCTCATTATCATATTTTCTCGATATAATCTCATGAATGTGTTTCTTCTATGCGTCCTGATGAGATCTGAAACTCTCAGGAACCCGAATCGATTCGTGTTGCGTTGTGATAAACTTCAGAAAAGACAACGTGGTGTTGGGTCTTCTTCCACCTGATAGAGAGATAAAAGAACCTGTGTCCAAGGAGAGAGCCAGAAAGAAACGAAAAGCTGACTCTCCTCA